TACGATTGGACAACTTACTTCAATAATTGCGAACGGCACCGTTAGTACGGCGCATTGAACCAACTTGTTTATTCGCGTTTGTCTCGCTCGCTCGCTTCAATCTGAATCTGGGTTTATATAACAGTAGTGATTCAGACAAATTTTGCGAAAGATCAATTTTATTAAACTCGTAAATTTTATAATTAAAAATTCAACTTTTGTATAATCCTTTGCCTTAAGTTTTTAAAAGAGACGAGAAACACACACACACACACACACACACACACACATACATACATACACACACACACACACACACACATACACACGCGCGCGCGCGCGCGACTTTAGTAAGATATACCGAACTATCGGTGATCAGAATTGAGCACCTTCGAGGCAGAAATCCCTCGATCAAAACAAGTCGCTCGCTAGGATGAGTGTCACTGCGCCTGATCTCGTCGGTCTCGTTCGCCGCTCGGCAAGTGACTCACTCCCGAGGTAGGATAAGAATGAACGCGAACAAATAACCTCGAGTTTCTCTCGTGCAACGCCGCACCGATCGCTCGGTCGCGCGATCGTCCCCGCACGACGTCCCCGCCGTCGTCGGGATTGAGCACCGCTGGCGATCTAGTCGGAGTGGCATCCTGGTCGCGAGCCGCAGCTCTGACGTCCGACACGTGTCATTCGCGGCTTTGAATAAGGACGAGCCGCGAGCAAACGACAAAACGATTCTGTGCAGGTCGCATGCGTTAAAAAACTGATTTCATTCCTTGAAACACACGAGTACGACCCTTATATATAACTTTTTTTTAGGATATCACAGAGAATAAAATAAAGAATAAAATAAAATAATTAGAAATGGATTTTTATTCTTATCTAAATTGGAAGAAATATTAAGACAAATTTAATATTTTCTAAAAAACATTAAATTTCATTCGTACTTCACATGAGAATCGGGAAATATTAATTAGGACAGCGTGGCTTAAATTATCTTCTGCTCACGTGACTGAAGTGACTCAAGTGTTATTTAAGTTTGATAAACTCTGACTACGTAGCACATATAAATAAGATCTGTTTAAAATAAGATAATTTCTCTTAATTCTTTCTAAATATTTAGTATATTATATAATTGCTTGTTTTAATGTGAATTGCTTTCAGGTTCTGATAAAATCAATATGTTATTAATAATTTGGCGAGTGAAATTCTCGTGAAACCGCAATATTATACAGATAACAATTTGCACTGTGCGAACAGATAACAATTATTCAAATAGAAAACAATCGCACTCGTTCAGTTGTAAACGGCAACAATTCCGTAATAATAAATTATGCTTCTTTTTCCTCTTCTTACGTAAATAACAATATTATTTTGAATAATTGTTATATTTTTTTTTGTAATATCTCCCAAAATGATAAAAAAAAAATCATAAAAATTATCGTTTATAAGAAACTCGAAGATCGATATTAACTTGATAAAATTTCACAAAATGCTTTAAAAATTACTGTTGTGAAGTTTTTATTGCTCGCTCAGGACGGATGAAATTTTGCTTGTAATTTTTCGTTTGTTTCATCAGAATCGTGCGAACTGTTAAGAGATTGACTTCTTGCATAAAAATCTCCGTCATCGCATCGCAATTGTTCTCCGAGATTCGACGGGTAAATTCGAGAGTACGCGAATCGAGCGGGAGTACCGAAAGGAAGGAGCGGCCCGCGTTCAAGATATCTGGTTTACCGCGGCGGTTAGCTTCTCGGCGGAAATCGCGATTCCCACAGCTTTCCCCCGCCGTTCGTGGTGGTCCGTTGATCACTAGGTCCATTGTTCGCGGCACGCCGACACTGCGATTATGAATGAGCGGAACGCGGAGCACGCAGCTACACGCACCGCGACCTGGACACGTGCGCGTACGCGAACTAGCTTGGGCGAATCAAAGAAAGAGAAAGAGAGAGAGAGAAGGAAATAAGGAAAAAAGAATCGAGATGAGAGATCACACAAGTACCGTGGAGCGATTATCGACGATCTTGTTACGTCGCGTCGGATAGTTTTTCCTGTCGATTCCCTCTCTTCCATGCCGTCACCCCTTCCGTTTCGCGCTTGTGATAACACGCTATCAATCGACGTGATATCGCGAAAGCGAAGCATCAAACCGGCGCGACTTTGTTTCTCGGCCAACAAAAATGCATCGATTTAATCTCAGATATATCCGAAGAAAGATTTGTGAAAATTGCAATGATTATATATGATAAAAAAATAAAAAGTTTTGTAAAGAAAATAATTTTCCTTTTCCTAATTATGGATAAATTATTTTTTTATTTAAAATGCTCATATGCATTTTTTATTATCGCTAAAATATCGCAAGTGTGAAAAATTTGATGGTGATTAGCGAGATTAATAAGAAAGATAAATGTAAAATATAAAGGAAATTGCTGTCTACGTATACCTGCAAAACAATCAATGCGTCTTTCTAGCGTTACAAGGAGTTCATTCCCTTCATTAATGAAACCGTAAGAAACGGATATGCGATACGCCGACAAGGATGCGAGATCTCGCGGTGTTACGATGCACTTCGAGCTTCCGGCGTCGGGTTCAGTTCATTGATAAAACGCTCCCGCGATCTCTCCGCATTTTGTATGTCGCAATGGGTCTTTTCCAGTGGCCGTGCGAGTGTAATTATATCAACTTGGTAACAGTTTCGCGTGTGACGCGAGTGTGTTACCTATCACCTTTATGGCCGACGATGATTCGTAGGACGACCATGCATACGTCACGTTACACATACAGCACACCGATCACCCTGCGTCATCCGCTTGTGGTGGAAGTTGTTATCGTTCATCTTTGCGTCGCACGCGACATTTATAAAGCGCGCCCCCGGTGACGTTCGCATTTACGTATTACTTAATATCACACACCCGTACTGTTGACAACGTAATAATTATATGGCAGAAAGAACAGCGCGTTTCGTCGTATCGGAGTTGTTAATTGCCTCCGTCAAATTATTTCAAGTGGGGCTTTAAGGCGATTTCAGGCGATGTCAGCAATCGATTCGACGCGTCGTACATAAATATCTCATCGTCAATTCATATCGCGTGAATTTATCGCTCGTTATTCTCAATAATTTCGCGCTTCGATGTTGATATTTAAGCTGTACTTTTTTATATGATGCACAATTTTTATTTACAATAATTATTTCTTATCGACATATCCGTGTTGATGTTTGCTTCGAAACTATTATCTTCAA